TGTGTGTGTGAGGGTGTGTGTGTGTGTGTGTGTGTGTGTGTGAGGGTGTGTGTGAGTGTGTGTGTGTGTGTGTGTGTGTGAGGGTGGGTGTGGGTGTGTGGGTGTGGTAATGAACTCATTTACAGTAAATTATTTAAAATGCCGGATAAAATTATAATAGATATTTGAATACTTTTATTCCCGTTTTTATTTATTCCTACTACAAGCGCTTCTAGATCACCACTATCATTATATACAATGTTAACATTTTTATGATATCTCCACAATAAGTGTTAATACTCAATATGGAGATTAATTAATAGAAGTCCCTACCCATGTTAGACACTTGTGACAGTAAATGAAAGTCAACTGTTTAGCTTGTTTAGAATATAAATATCATTTTGAGAACTACTATAAACATTAAAATGCTTAAGTAAATTCAAACAATTGAGAGATGTTTTCCAATAAATGTTCTTGCATAGCCGAAAAATGGGCATGGGCACATGGCTCGTCTTATTCCCCCAGATTCTTTTGAATAAAATGCGACAGGTAAAGTTTACATGCATTGCAAGAGTTATCTTTCTTTTTGATGTATGTTGTGGTCGAAATTACTCCGAGGCCGGTCGAAATTAACCCATGCAACATGCTTACTTATTTTTAAACCAATTCATTATTTTTATGCATTTTTACCTCCTAAAGCAAAAAAAAAAAAAAAAAAAAAAAAAAAAAAAAAGAAGAAGAAGAAGAAGAAGAAAACATCATTCTCAATTACTTTGAATTTTTTTTTAAACTAGTACATTTGAAAACAGTCATGTTTTGTGGATGAAAGCCACAAATCAGGAAAAGTGGTCGAAATTACCCCAGTCTACCCTATAGGGCTTGCAAAAATGTAAAGTAGGAATTTTACCTCAAAGATATAACAGTTATGTTATATAGTTTATTTCAACAGAATTCAACAGAATAGAATTCATTTGCAGGCACGTAGTATCGTTTTTTGAAAAGTTACGGGGGGGGGGTGTTAAAAAAAATGACAAATTACCTTAATAAGTTTGACAAGCAAAATATAAAAAAGGACAATTGTCCAAACAAAAATAAAAGAAAGAAAAAAAAACGAATAAAGATAAACCTCAGGGGCCCGCTATTCAAAAAACTTACGACTAAGACCAAAAACTTCAGTTGATTCTAAAATCTTACAAAACTTTTGTTTCTGTTCAAAAAATTGCATAAAAATATCTTTCTAAATTTTTTTTCTTCAAAAAGATTAAAAACGTTTTTTAAAGTAAAGTTTAAAGGAAAGCTATTTGCATAATTACATTTTGATCTTAGTCGTAAGTTCTTTTGTAAAACGGGGCCCAGAGTTTTAACTTGTCAAGAATTAAGAAATGCTTTACATTCTCGATTTAAACTAAAATTCTTTGATCAAAACAATTTTCCCCACAATATTAAGTTTGAAAATACATGATATAATATACTTATGGAACATTTAAGACATTGTCACAGAACCATGAACATAAAACAATATATACAAGCTAATTCAGAGAATTTGTGTCCCCCGCTTAGGGGAAAAAAAGAAGACCATGCGCAGTTCGGGGGGGGGAAGTTTCTACCCTCCCACCCCCCACCCCCCGGATTTGTAGAATTAATAAATGTATACATGTATATTGAAGCAAATTAAAATGCCAATATGGATATAAAGATTTGATTGCTTAATTATTGTTTAAATAGAATATTTATCACACTGTAATAATGATTTTATGAGTTTGTACAAGCCAGACGTCATAACCTTTTCATTTCACATGCTGAATACTATCATTTAGAAAATCCAAAAAAAAAAAAACACAAACAAAAACAAAAAAAAAACATCAGGGATTTGAACCCGGTACCTCTCACTTGCTAAACGAGAGTAATATCCCTAGACCACGGAGGCACTTGATTACAGAGCAAATTAAATGCAAACATTAGGTCGCATATTATGTTTATATTCACGTTCGATATTGTCAAAATTTTACACAATATATGGTGTCTAATTTGGCCTTTACTAAACAGTTCTAATAGATGTAATTAGAATATAAAGTCCGCCGACAGCCTGTATTATACGTTATAACTCTCCACATGCCCTTGTGCTAAGAATAGTGCCAAGCGACTTTTAATACAATAAATAATATAAAAAAAACGGGGCGGGACACTTTGAACGGGGCGAGAGAGGCCATAGGGAGTTATGGTATAAAATTCCATTGCAAAAGCTCAAAAGCTTCTTGAGATATCGCTCGGAGACGAAAGTGTTACACTCAGACGAAATGTATGAATTTACGACCTTGAACTTTGACCTTTTGACCTCAAAATCAATAGGGGTCTTCCTTAGGCCACAGGGAGTTGTTATGTAAAATTTCATTACAAAAGCTCAAAAGATTCTCGATATATCGCGCGGAAACGAAAGTGTTACAGACAGACAGAAAATCAGCTAGACGGACGGACAGATGGACACAGACCCAAATTAATATCCCCCACTTTCAGCGAAAGCAAGGGACAAAAACAACACGTTAAAGGTTTTATAAACAGATAGTATGCGCTATTTACACAGGCATACATGCTGCAAATAGTTATGTTTGTCAATACGAGAATGCTCAAATTCACTGGTATATGTACGCTGTTAAAAAAAACAACAAAACTTTAAATTACCTTAATTATTACCAAGAGCATCTGTATAATCAATAAAGATTTACATTTTGTAAAACTCATTTAAAGCAACAAGTACATTTCTGTTTATAGTCATTTTCCAAAATCTTTTAATCTGGTTTCAATACCTACCAGGGCTGTCCCAAAAAAGTCTTAGACATGGTAAACAATATAGTTTTTTTTCTTTGCCAACATGTCTTTCTTTTCTTGACATTGTAAAAAGCAACATTTAATGGTCATGAATTACAAGTTTCATAAAAAATACTTTAGATAAGAGAATAATATGACATTGAAAATAAAAAAAAACGTATATACATTGTAAGTCTACGCCGGTGCACGAAAGTAAACGTAATTTACCTCCCACAACGTCATGATCAATCTTTTTAAAAATACTGGCCCCTGTGCGCAACACGTCTTTTTGGGATTTCTTTGATTTTTCAATTACACTGGTAAACTAATTTGGATTCAATAATCGTATCAGGCTTACCGGCACCCTAAAATATACTTCACTCGTTACAAGCATATCTTTTGAGATCGTATGAATATTGTTCAACACTATTCCAAAAAATCAACAGATGCATATTTACATACATTTAAATGGGAGATAAACAAGAAACATTCAATAAATATAATCAATAAATTAAAAAAATTTTACAGGATTTATCAGTTCTATTAGTGTAATTTAGTTTCATATTTAACATAATTAAAGGAAATCCAGGTATCCTTAATTTGTACATTTTTTTTGTAAGTACATGTACGAGGGTTGTCCCAGGAAATCGCGAACTTTTTAAATATTTTTCGTTTCACTTATATTTTAAAGTTAAAAATTGGGATGTACCATAATCAACATTTTTTACATCATTCACAGAAATTTCAATAAAATATCTGAATACATAACATTTTTATCTCTGATAAACGAATCATTCAAAATAGCTCCCGGCGCAACACCGACGACGTCAAAACGTAGCTCGTGGAATTTTTGAATTTGTTCAGGAATCGAGCGTCTTTAAAAAATGCGTTCGAAGCATAAACTCGATACTGCATTTGATTTTCTTTTAGTTACTGAGTTATCCATTTCGCAGGTACTACAGTAAAGAATAAATCAAGGAATTAATTCTTTTAATAGACACTTTTCCAACCCCGATCATAAACTTAACTGCTTGCATAGTTAACGGCTGTCTCCACGTATGATGTCCAGCTCTAGACTTTTCATTTTGTCGTCATTTTTGTTGACCTACCAAACGCTTCTTCCATCGGATGACCAGTTCATCCATCTTTGAACCTCGTGTTTGGTCATATGACGTCATATTTTTGTTATTTATGATGTCAAAGTATAAATTTTTTTTACACACGAGTACTCTCCCTAACAAAAATTTACTATAGTTAACTATAGTGAAAACTTTGACACTTTGATTTACTACGAAACTTTACTCGGGAATTTTCTTTGAGATTTCAAAGCTTAAAATCTCTAAAATTCAATAACATGTAAAATTTGGAAATAATATGTGAATATACAACTAATACTTCCATTTAATATGAAAAAAGTGCATTTGTGAAATGAAGAACAAAATATATAACAATCTGAAATCCATAGTAAAATACTTCGATTTACTATAGTTAAAAAACTTTGATACTATAGTAAACTATAGTAAACTTTAGTTAACTTTAGTATTTTTTTTGTTAGGGCTAGATCGTACAGATCCTCTGGATGTAATTTTTGTCACATTATATTTCCGTACAGCCTTATAATACAGAAAACATAGATGGCAATGCTAATTCTGAAAGTCAAGAAATTGCAGTGCGCCGACCACCGATATTTAACACCTTTTAAATGCTGCTTTTAAATGCACATTCCAACCTTATAATATTTAATCAAAATGACGAAAATATCATTTCCTAATATTGTGCCAAAAATGAATAACTTTGGTAAGTTAGTTTATGAAATATTTAAAAAGTTCACGTTTTTCTGGGACAACCCTCGTAGTATAGTTTTGTACCGAAATTTTGTTTCTATGCAAAGCTTAAATGGATTTCTTTACGTTTTTGAGATTACGGAAATTGCCGATCTATTCTTAGTAATTATTTCACACATGAACGATTTGCCGCTTAGTATAAATAGTGTGTCAGGCGCGTGTTGGGTCATTGCGACATTTATTACAAGATTTTTAGGACATACAAATTTCCTTTCCCATCCTCGCCCTAAGAACTATGTAATGTATTTGTATGTACATGTAATATAATTATTATATATGTTTTTTGTTGTCGTAAATTATCATTTTGTTGTTAGGTACTGCATTGAGAAAGATTATATAAATGCAATCTTGTAACAAACGCACCGAACCTAATATGTTTGTGGTTGTTTATTCAAATTAGTCAAGGAAAGATTTATTTTCGGAGGAGTAAACGAGGGAGAAAATAATAGCGACATCTAGCACTGGGATACGATATTTCCATTTTCAACAACTCTTTATACACAGATGGTCTAGTTCCAAACATCCCGGAAAAAGAAAATCTGCATGCCCTACACAAATGTCATTTGATCAATGAATCGGAGAATTATATCCATCTGGAGATGTATTAATGTTAAGAATGTTGGCCAAATTTCACATTAACTCCAAGCAATGTCATACCTGAAAAAAAGAAAAAAGATCGCTTTCAAAATAATCAATATTGTGTATCAAGGATGTTTCCATCTGAATTGAATACCAGCCGAATAATCGGTACATTAAGATGAAGTCATACCATAAATACTACAGTTTTATTCTGTTATTTGCTGTTTAGACAAAAATACAAGAATGTGTTGCTGACTGTTTAAATTTTTTTTTATATATATAATGTATTGTTTTGCAACAGTTTATTTATAAACATAATATTTATTTCTGTTAGGTGTATGACTGTTCATCGACAACAGCTACTGCGGATATTTGCAATTTGTATCAAGATCTGACAAAAGACAATCTAATTTAAATTAGGGTCTGCGATCCAGTTAAATTTTAAATAGATAAGAAAAAAAGTGTGCTTGTACTTTTATGATTCTATTTTTATGTTCGAAAAGCTTACACGAGTTTTGCAAGCTTTATAAATAAATTGTAAATTTTCTAAAACATTGTGATGTTTCTTTCGAACGAATGGTGTTATTCCAGTCTAAAAATGTTTTCACTTGACTTCCTAAATGCACAAAACAACATTATCTAAAGCAGTTGAAAAATGGGGAATATATAGTGATGGGTGTCAGTTAAACTTAAGAGTAGCCATCCCTTATTCGCAGGTCCTCTTACGCCATTGAATGCAATTTAATGAAACTTTCACAACATAGTACCGTTGTGACCTCCTATTTAACGTTTCGATTGGACAGATTTTAAGGTCTTCCAGTGCAAACATGGATTTTCTTAGTATACTTGGGGTAGCCATTACTTATCCTCATCTCCTCTTCCTCCACTGAATAAAATTAAATGAAATTTACAAAGAATCTTAATTAGATTGTGCCATATTGTGCCATCTATTTTACTTTTCCTTCGGAAAATATGGAGGTTGCCATTCTTTATTTAATATAAAGGTAGCCATCTCTTATCTTCAAAACTTCCTATATCACTGAATAAAATTTAATGAGACTTTCACAGAATCTTTCTTACTAAGTGCCACTGTGCACCTTCTGTTTTAGTCGCCAGCGTGGCGCAGTGGTTAGAGTGTTTGCTATAGAGTCGCGGAGTAAGGAGTTGATCCTTACGTCGCGGGTTCAAATCTCACGGTGGGACGTGGAGACCGGTGATTCGGATGAGACCGTATAAACCGAGGTCCCGTGTCGCAGTAGGTGCTGGCACGAAAAAGATTCCTCTGCTTAATGGCCCTAAGTGCCGAGTATACGTCAAAATTTACAGCTCTCCATCAACAAGTGGTGGCATCTCCATATGAGTGAAAAATTCTCGAGAGGGACGTTAAACAACAAACAAACAAACAAAAAATCCCTTCTATTTTATGTTATATATAAGCCAGATTTTAGGGTTTTTCCATTCCTAAACAGACTTTGCCATTAAATTCGATAAAGGGGGTAATTTAAGAAAAATTTAAAACTAAATCATACGGATTGCTCCCGTCCTGGTGGCACGTTTTTTCACCATTGACTTTTTCTTTGGTGTCCGAGGAGGTAATACTGAGAAAAAGAAAAGGCAGTTTATTTTCAGAACTAAAAATTTTATCAAAAGAAATTCATACTAAACACATGATTTGATTCTATTTATGCTTTAGATCTTACAATTAGGTGGCAATTCAAAGCGCGTACCTCAGTTTCCCATCTGTTTTTCTAAAACAGTGTTGTAGGTTTGATTTTTCTTTAATGATTAAAAAGGCAGTCGATGTCGCAAATACCACTGTCAACAGAACAAAAATCAACGATATTACCATCCAAGTATTGAAACTACCGGCAGCCTGTCCTTTCCTTTCTTTACACATTTCCCCAGTTTGACATGGACCGGCGTCTCTTGTTGGTGTAGCAGAGGTAAGTTGTATTTCTGGATCTCTTACAGATATAGATACCACAGATGTAACATTCAGAGTCTTTCCATTAAATGTATTGAAAGCAGAGCAAATATAATTTCCAGAATTGTTGATATGAAGATTTTTCAATAGCAATGAAGACCCGTTTCTGTTCAAGTTTATAGTTTGTTCCTCATCGCTAGCGTTCGTGGATAGGAAGGTCCATCTGTACACTGGCGGTGGATTACTGATGGTAAAACAGTCTAGTTTTACATCATCCCCAACAGAATACACCGATGACGATGGTGTGATCGTAACCACGGGCTTTTTTGGACCATCTAATACATAAAATATACAAGTTTTCATAAATACCGATTAATTCAGCTATTTTAAGATAAACCAAATGCCAGGAAATTCAGTTATTTTAAAATAACCATTTAGCAATATGACTTAAAGGTAGTTTATGTAATCATTCTGCTACGATTTTTTTTTTAGATTTTTTTTTACTCTTTACACATTATTTGTAAAATTTAAGGTCATAACATACCCCAAATTCGGAAAAACTTCCTCGAGTTTGGATTTAAATTTATTCGTTACTGACTAAATTTTATCTATTTTGGCGGATTTCATTTTTCTGCATTGAATTTCCATATAGACACCAAAATGTAGATTTGTAGTGAATGAAAAAATGGGGTTGATTTTGATAGGTAAATTTTAATATGATTTTGTCTGTTAGCAATAATAAAGCCTGTATAAACTGTTTAAAATAAATTATTTGACTTTTTTAGCATTCTTCATTCTTGAACATGATAAATTCGTATCTTATTTCTCTATTTCTAATTAAAACTAAAACACACACCTACACACCCACACCCTCCCACCCACTCACCCCCCCCCCCCCCACACACACACCCACAGAGAGAGAGAATTAATAGTAGCATAAATTCAGATATAATAATCTCAGAATTATTTTTTTTTTTTAACCGAGGAAGGCTATTAAGAAATAATGTATAGTGACGTCTCTACACGAGTGAAAATTCTTGAATGGGACGTACAACACCATCAGACAAAATCGATAATTTAAGCAGGGGGTATAGTCTTGGCAAAAAAAAAACATAACAGTTCTACCAATATATATGTACCCTGTAAACTAAGGAACGCTGTTTTTCTCTGTAGGAATTATTGGAATTAATACAAGTATAAGGTAAAATCATCGACCAATATGGAAGAGATTTTACACGACACGATTAAACATGACAAGACACAGTCACTACAGGAAAATACTTCTCTCGCTCTCTCTCTAAAGAATTTAAAAAAAAAAATGGAACGTAAATAAAGCCTCCGTTTCTTAACAGTTCTTCAATATTGTCCAAATTTCAATAATTTCGAAAATTAAACGACAAATGTACATAATGCTGGGATACGAAAAAAAACTGTTTTATACCCGCAATTAAAAGAAAGTATGTTGCAGTTTGCAGTATAATTTAAAGGATGAAGATGCTACTTTCCGACTTCTCCAACTTTACAATGCATTTAGTCGACTAATCAATTCTATGTTACTTACACAAAACTGAGATTGTCTTTGAGTCTTTGTTTGGTGCTGGTTGCGGAGTAAGGCTATTCTGTGATGAGCATTTGAAAACAGCGCCATTGTCATCTCTGGAAACACTGTACGTTAAGCTTACGTTAAGAAAATTAGTACAATTCTCTGTCTTAATAACAATATTGTTTTTAAAATTTGAAGAGTATATTAATTCTTTTTCAGTTGAATTCCTTGGAACTTTCCAAATTTTCATATTCCCAGGTGGATTTCCGACATCAGCGCTGCATATGAAGCGTATGGATTGATTTTCCTCAAGTTCATTGGAGTGTTCTACGACAAATTCGTCTGGTACAGTTGCTTCAGCTGTTTAATTAACAAAATAAGAAAAAAAGATAATTAAGATAGTACGTTTGTATACTGCTATTAAAAGGATTTTGAATGGCGATCCACACACTGGTAACTAAAATGGACTTTAAAAAAGAAATTAACCAGTATCTAACAAAAGATAAAAGAGAAATCAAATGGAATTAACAGAAAAACTCAAGACAAGTCCAAAGTCTATGAATTTTAGTGTAATCTCTCTAAACGAAAGAACCTTCCCGATTCCGAAAGACTGTGAACATAAATCTGGGAAACATTAGTCATGTTCTCTAATTGAATCTCGTCAGATTTAAACATTGTTTACTTGACTTTATATCCCAGCCAATTAAATATTTATATGAGTTTTATATTTTGTCTGTTTTCGTCATTTATTTGATTAAATGATATTTTCACACATATAACGTTGTTTCTATAATATATATATTCGATTAAGCAAAAAACGAGCTGCGAATTGCCAGTTTTTTTTTTATATGAGTTGTACACAGCAAAATTTTTGGATATAAACAATAACAACTGATCACGCCTTAGTACAAAACATGTTTGACTTTTTTTCCCATAGAAAATATCAATCAACATTTAAGTTTTTTTTCATTTCCAAACCGTATTTTGTCTGATTTGATATATTTTTCAGAGTCTACGGAAATTTACAATGTAAATTACGGGAATTTATAATGTAAATTTTAGTCATTGCTGTAAGCGCGCAAGGGGGTTGTCGCTAATCCAAAGATTACTCAGTTGAACCCCACATGTATAAGCTGATTCGGAACGTGCACTACACTATTACGTTCTTAACGGTAAGCAACGGAAAGAATAATGATTGATCTATATTTGAAGTGGCAGACATTTACATGTACTTAATAAAAAAAAAATATCTGTAGACTTTAAATTGCCTAGCTGAACTAGAGAATTCTTTCAACTCTGAACAAAAGTGATCAATTGATATCTTACCTAGATTGAAAACTATGATATATGTAACTATGTATTTTGAAATAAAATACAAAAACTGATGGCGTTGGTACTGTGGGAAAAACTACTTTTAATAATACCCTTTGAAATTACTTCTGTGAAAAGATAATTCTACCTGAGATCTATGTATCCTAATTTCATTAATAATCAATTGATTAATTGTTTGTTTCTTACATCCAATTTGAGAATTTTTCACTCACATAGAGGCACCACAAGTTAAATATGAAGGTCCACAAATCTTGACCTACCCTAACAAAAAATACTATACATGTAGTTAACTATAGTTAACTATAGTGATAACTTTGACACTATGAAAACTATAGTTAACTATATTGATAACTTTGACACTTTGATTTACTATAGTGATCATTATGACACTATAGTGATAACTATTAAAACTTTGATTTACTATAGTGATCACTATGAAAATTTTGATTTACCATGGTGAAAATTTTGATTTACTATAATAGTGATCACTTTGAAAACTTTGATTTACTATAGTGATCACTATGACATTATCGTGATCACTTTGATTCACTATGGTGATACATTTGACACTTTGATTTACTATAGTTAACTATAGTAAACTATAGTTCACTATAGTATTTTTTGTTAGGGTATGCTTGGTGCCTACGTCAACAGCAGTGAAGCTTTGCCGTGCCAACGCTTACTTGACACGGGACCTTTACATTTGTCATATTCTTTATTTTGTATCCCTTTCATCCAGTAAATAAGTAAATTCAAAATTTAACACATGACATGACACATTGTTCTTAAAATTACCTTGGAATATGACCGATGTTTGGTTTTGTTCATGTTCGATAGCATCATTTACATAATACTCTATCCAACATTGGTACAATCCTTCATCGCTACAGACAGCATTATTTAGAACCAATGTAGCTCTTGTGAGGTTTTCATGTGGTGCTATAAGGTGTGTTCTGTTTCCTAGCGATTCCTTGAAGTCACGGTGAATACTTGGGTCTGGTCCGCCAGGAATCGAAAAATAAGCAACATCCACATAACCATTAGAACTTTGTTTTTGCCATTTGATTTTTCTATCTGAAATTTCCTCATTGTCCTCTCTAGAGTATCTACAAGGAAGTGTTATGTTTGTGTTCCTTTGTAACTTTACTCTAACTTCCAGTGGTGTCGATATTTTGAGCAAGCAAGCACCTAATACAAAATTAAATTTATCCTGCAGTCAATCACTCCAAAGATCCATAATGTGAATCTATCGAAAAATTCATTTTAATATGCAAATGGAAAGATAGAGCTTCCTTAAATAATACAATATGCATACTCAATTTATGAATTGTGGACGTGGATTTTTTTTTTTTTTTTTTTGAATCACAAGATCGATTAAGATTTATTTTACAAAAGTAAGCCAATTAATATCAAAGAAATAATTATGTTACTGAATATATAATTCTACTAAGATAAATTCATTTAAGTCTGTATATTGATCAATTATACACTTAAATATTTGTTTTAGGAAGGAAATTGTGAGAAAAGTGTATATTAAAAAATTCTGTTATTTGACAAACACTTAGGAAATATTGTTTTGAAAATCAGTAACACGATTTGAGTAAGGGAGGTGAAATCATGGATCGTTGAATAAAAGTGTACTGGATATTTTGACATCCCATGCATAAATGAAATACGAGAAAGGATTAAAATAAAATAAAACCCTACCATTTGCCAGAAGAAGGATGAGAATAATAAGTATTGTCATCTTTTTTGTTGTATCCAGATCGCTCAATCAACACCTTTCTGTAGCTAATCAATATATATATATATATATATATATATATATATATATATATATATATATAATATAATATAATATAATATAATATAATATAATATAATATAATATAATATATAATATAATATAATACAATATAATATAATAAAATTTCATTATTTTTATAGAGTATCCCACGAAACATATCTATTTCACTTGTGCTAGGATTATTGAGTATTTCAAGGAACGCATGTGTTTTCTAGTAAAATTAATGATTTATTTAGAATGATCATCTGTTAGTATATAATTTCTATGTGATAATAAGATATCATGTCTAAGGATAACTAGCTCTAACTAGCTTAATTTTTTTTTTTTGGAAAAAAACAAAAAAACAAAAAAAAAAAAACAAAAACAAAAACAAAAAAAGGATGTCTCACTACTTCCCTCTGACGAACAAAATAGAATTTAGGACATGGCTCGAAAAATCCCCAGAACTGCAAAACCATGTTAATCATATTTGAAATTGAGGCATCCCTATGTTGTGAGAGAGAGGGGGTAGCATGAGGCTACAGTATAGGGTTAAAATTTATCCTGGGATTAAAGAGAGAAACTCTGTTAAAATTATCTAATGAGAGCAATAGGAACAAGGTGTCTCAAAGAACCAGTTTATTTTAAATTTTTAACATTAAAAATTGGCCAAATTTAATTGATTTAAATGTCAAAGAGTTATCCCCCGGATAAGATGATGCGTATACATATCTTTACCTTAAATCTCACATAGAGAAGCCTTACCTCTCTTTGGAACAGATTTTTGCCATTCATACTTTTATTGCAGGAAGGAAGCAGAATAGCTCTTTTGAAAAAAAGAATGGCTAAATTTGGTCTCAGTTCCTTTTGTTTAATATCTAGACTATCCGGCTTCAATGAACATGGAAGGTGAAATAAAATTTTGAAAGGTTTCAAATGTATTCAATCATAGTGAGATTCTTCAAAAGTAATAAAAACTCGACACATCTATATCATGGTCATTATCCATAGGTACTGAATTTGAAAGTAAATGTTACATATTTTTCACCCTTCACCCGATTAGGTCATTGTCTCCACCCAAAAGCAAAATGTATACTGTCAATCTCACGGTACATCATTCCTGCAAGCTTGGTCCAGTGTAGAATTTGCAATTACTCAGGAATAAATCTGCTCCAAAATCTCTAAATTGACCATTCATAGATAAAATACAGAATCTGAAGCATCTGAAGCATATTCGGTATAGTAAACATTCGTAGCAAAATCATTTCTAAAGGTTTGGTCCATTTAAGAGTTACAATAAATTGGAAATTGATATCTTTTTTTTTTTTAAATCTGGCCTGATTTTTAAGTTTGCCAGAATTAAATGGATCTGCTCCAAAAAAACGTCGTGGCCACTCAGCAGGAAAATATACATCAGAATATGGCACCAGTGTTTTTTCAAAAGAGGAAAGAGTTCAAAAATTAAATTCGCTAAAAGTTGCGATATCTGAAAAAAGTATTTTACTCTACAAAAACTCTACAGCATTACATCAAAATGTTTTACATGACCTTCGGCTTCTCCTTGACATATTTTTCGAAGTGATTGGAAACTCTTTAGATATATCTTGTTCAACGGAAACACTTTGTTTTTTTTTGTTGGTTTTTGTGATCAATCAAGGAAATAACTCTTACAAGTATGTCTAGCGTTTGTATCTCTATATGTGTTGGCACATTTATATTTATTTTCCAGAGTAAAAACTTCAAGAAAACGGATATTTTTAACGTCCTTTATGGTGTGACCCATATCAACAACTTTTGGTTAGGTTCATCAGGGTCAATTATATCTTTTCAGAAAGGTCGAAGTGTTTTTCTATGACAATCCTTTAAGAGACTGACAATGGTGCCAAATTTGACCATTTCAACCCAATCTTCAATATCGAAAAATGACCCATGGTCATCATTAATGGCAAATTGAAATTTTGTAAAACAAAATTCTGATCATCTCCTCAAAACTTTCTTTTCGGATCAGGCTGCTTCTTTTCTCATATCATATAATGAATCAATGAATCATTGCTTAAGTAAAGATATAATCATCATGTTCACAGTTAGCTAAAGATAAATCTGACGTATTCTGTTTCTGTGACCAGCACATACCAGTACAATATCGAAAAGATAAAAGTATGGCAAAATGTGATAAATTACGTCGTATTGGTACTGTAAGGCACTGGCAGAAAATTGAAAAATTGCGTTCGTGTATCAGCAAAAATACGTTAAATGAATTTTATCAAATTATTTTTGGCATAAATGTTGATTTCTTTCTTTTTTATAAGAGTTTTGGGGACAATGGGCTTTTCAAATGACCAAACAATAGAAAATTAATCAAATTTTTGTTCATTCATATAGACTTTATTTTCTTCAAATTGATATTTAAAAAAATATGTCTGCACACATGAACATAGCAGGATAGTATGTAAATATTACATGTAAATATGTAAATTCCTTTTAAAAAGAAATTAAAATCTGCAAAAAATGAATAAATAAAAAAAAAATAATAATGATAATAATAAAAACAAATAAATAAATAAAAAAGTAATAAGTTTACTTGCAATAAGTTTGATTTCAAAATATGACTGACCTTTTTACCTCAAAAACCAGCTGTCAAAATAAGGAAATAAATCATGGATTTATGTTATCATGCAAATCTTTGCTAGGAAAACTGGATGTTCGGAAAAATAAAATCTGATATGAACCAAAAGCTCATCTATCTCTGTATTAGTATTTTTTCTTTTTCAGGGAGCGCTCGCTCCGTGATAGGAAGGTCGTGTGTTCGAATCACGGCCGCGACTGACCTAAGTCGATAAAAAATAGGTAGAAACTGTTCCTTCGCCAAGGGCTCGGCACTTTAAAGTGAAAGTTGCGGGTTCTTCGGATGAGACCTTAACAACCGAGGCCCCGTGTCACGGTAGGCGTGCTCAATAGCCCTGAGTGCTGAGTAAATGTCTAAATTTGAAGCCCTTCACCGGCAGATGGTGACGTCTCTATATGAGTGAAAAATTCTCGAACGGAACGTAAAACAACATACAATCAATCAATCAATCTTTTTCAGGGGAGTCCTTAGGCCGGAATAATTTAAATGAAAACCATTGATTAATACCGAGATGACTTATTGAGCTGTTTGTTATTCCGAATACCGGAGAAGGTATGCCTCAAGAATATGGGTTTAATTGGTGTTGAACATAGAGCCCATGTATCTTGGTATTTGGGGTAATTGCTTTGGTCTATTCGATAGAATCAAAATTGATTTGGAAAGGCTGATTTCACTGCGTTTGGATTGAATTTGCCTAGCAGTGGATGATGGGGGAGCTGTTTATATTTGACCAATAATGAATCCGGGGGTGGGGTGGGGGGGGGGTGGGGGGGTGATACAATAACCTTATCAGCATATGCAATCTATCACAAAGTCGAATGTTGACTGACTTTTTTCATAAAAATTATTAGGTCATTATTTTCACACAGTATTGTCTATGTATTTTTCCGTTTGCCCGATCATGGCAAGTAGCATACGTCGGATCGACAGGGGATGTTTACGTCTCCTTGGCACCTGATCCCACCTCTGATGTTTTTAGAGGTTCATGTTTGCTCTGCTCCAAATATGTATTGTTTCAATGGACTTTTGAGCTTGATTTCTGTTCGTTATCTTCAAATTTCAATTCTCCTGATATGACCAGCTCAGCCTAATATTTGACATAAATTTAACAAATTGAAGACTATATTCTTTATCAAACTCTTCTTCATACCACCTTTTCTAGTTATTCAAAGACCAGTCTTTTTTACATCATTGACAACTGCTGCTTCAATTACAATTCTCAGAGTAGAGCGCTCGCTCCATGATCGGAAGGTCGTGGGTTCTAACCCCGGCAGTGACTAACCTAAGTCGATAAAAGAGGTAGCAACTGTTCCTTTGCCAAGCGCTCGGCAATTTGAAGTGAAAGTTGCAGGTCTTTCAAATGAGACCTTAAAAACCGAGGCCATGTGTCACGGAAGGCGTTGGCACGATAAAGATCCCTCCCTGTACAATGGACCTTTGTGCCGAATAAAAGTCTAAATTTGAAGGCCAAACTTTAAACGACTGTAAAATCAACATGTTAAACATGGTTGTCTATGTATTTTGTAATAATTATCTAAGATGTGCTACCTTCATAATGATTCTATTATTATTGATCAATTTTCATTCAAAACATTTAAATATAATCTTTGGTGATTGTTTTCTTTCTACAAAATTATATGAAAAACTGACTACCCGATACGTATTGGAAGTTATTTTTTCAATGCGATACATTCTTGAATATCAATACTATCGATATATTGATACAGTCCTAAATTAAACTAATGGAGAAATAAACAAGGTAAGTAACTATTGATATCTCAACTCCGTCTTTTCTCATTTGATTAATAAATTAGAGATATCACATTTCTTTCTCATTCCCTAGTCTGATTCCCCATCCTCTTCTTCTTCGTGTACTCCCTTTCCATACCTTAATTTCAGATGTGAAAAACTGGAAATCACCGTCTCCATCAGTGAAAAATTACGGGACGTAAAACAAAATAAAAGAAATCAATCAATAAAAAATAATGAAACAAGCAAATTTTTCTTTAATCTTTTCATTGTTAAAAACCATCCTGACTACACACACGTACTCCGAAGTTGATATTAAAAAGATGCTTTATTTCTTCATTGACAATAAGTAGTCTTTGAAAACCGGGTTTTCCAACAATTTGTTGGAATTCCCATGGGTGTCAATTGATGACCCGTTTTTTATTCTTATGAAACAGATTTTATTGAAAAAATTCTACAGGAAAAAAAGAGTTTCTTGTTGTGGCCTGCAAATCGGCGTTTAGATATATCGATGACGTTTGATATTTTATTGACTATAAACGACGATGGCAAACTAACTTAAGATATTTTACTGACTGTAGAAGATAATGGTAAATAAACAACTAAAACTAAAAACTTCATGATAAACGTGATGACTTCTATTCTTCCATTGTAAAATTCTCTTATTAAACCATTATAACCTGCATATGGAGTAGGGTATCAACAATCTCGATTAAGTCAACATTTCAAATATGCTATGCCGATACAATAACCTTGATTGCAAATTCAATCTGTCGTTAGGTCAAATATTACGGATCTTTCATACAAATTGTTAGACCATTATTTTCATAATGAATTGACTACGGATTTCTCCATTTACCCGATCATGTCAAAGGACATACGGCGAGTGTTACCGGTTGACAAGGTATGCCTGATCTTTGATGGCACCTGATCCCACCTCTGATGTTTTCAGAGGTCCATGTTTGCTCACAATTTGTATTGTGTCATTGGATTTTTGAGCATGATTACTGTTCGTTACCTTCACATTTAAAGACCAACTTCACCAGATCCTAAATTCTGGACCAAGGAGGCATGAATTTCAAAATCTTATTAGAGGGCTTACTGCTTATTAGAAGCGTGCAAACCTTTTGCCTGCTAGATGTCGGTAAGTGAAAAAGTTCAAAAATGTATTTTAAATATATGACCAACTTAGCCCCACCCTAGTGTTTGAACACTATAATGGACATCAATTTCATATGCTTGGGAGAGGGCTAACTGCCCATTAGTATCATCATGGAAACGTCATTCCTGCTAGAAATCCATGGGTTAAAGATATTAGTAGTTTTAATATATGATTATCTTAGCTAATCAACCCGAATCCTGGATCCTCGGAACATAAATTTTACATTTTGGTATAGCACGTTAGCTGCTCATCAA